AAAAACATGATGGGGTATTGATGTTTCATAGATTACTCAAACAGAAGGTGTTTCGTGTGAAAACCAAAGCAGAGGGGAGATTTTGTCTTCACGCCCGATGCGTTTAATCTGAACTCGGTGGTGTGAACTGGTTTCGATGACGGTTCAGCGAGCTGGAGGATAAATAACCTGAAACATAACCATGAAACTTGTTTTAAATCCCTCAGGCCTGTTTTTTTTTTCCCTTTCTGTCTCTCAACAAACACCCTCTGAAGAAAGTGCAGTTGTAACCTAAATACGTCTCTCCTCTTGTGACAGGAAGTACTTTTCCATAAAGAGATCTCCAGCATCTCATTAGAGGAGAACAATATCCCTCTGCCGGTACTTATAGCGGCTATATTATAAGCATGTAGGTTCAAGTCGTTGGACGTGCTGACTTTGTTTCTGCATGTTAACCTCAGCCTGCACACATGTTCTGGATAAAAGCCTCAGACCGGATTTGGCAGCTCTGATTGGCATTTGGTAAATATTTGTCTGCATGCTGCTATGGGGCTGCACGGTCTGGCAAAGAAATGGGGAAAAGATCACAGGATTAGACTCTGGTATCGTTAACATTCAGCAAGAATATGACCCTGGATATGTGAAATTACATGATGCAACTCTGAAAGCGCTGATTTTATTTCAGCATGAACGGTAATAGTTTCAAAAGTTGAACAGATTTTACTCAGCAGCAAATAAATCCAGATCAAGAAAGAGCTCTTTGTAGTCACTTTTTTACTTTTTGCTTTACTTGTTTTTTTCTTGTCCTCCCAGGCTTTGCAGAGCTGCAAACAGACATGACAGATCTGACCAAGGAGCTGAATCGCAGCCAGGGCATCCCCTTTTTGGAGTACAAACAGTTTGTCACGCGCACGTTCTTCCCCAAGGTGAGAAACCCTTTTTTAACCTGTTATCTGATTTCACCTGGCAGATTTACAATATATTTTTCTCACTGGGGTTTTCATATTTCTATCCCTCTGCGGATGCTTTTCACATCTTCTACAGCCTAAACTATGCAGGGTTTTTTTTTAAAAGGGAAAAGAATCACCTTGGAACTTTTAAACACACAGTAAATGTCGAGCAAAGTTGCCACAGTGTGACTCCACTGCAGGAGAGTTAATGTGTTCCCAATAGGTAAGCATTTTTCTGTTGTGTGATCCGCCCCGAAGGTAGACTGTAAGTAAATCAGTGGGTGGGTGTTTTTCCTCCACCAATGGAGACAGGCACAACTCAGGGGGCTTTGTCTCGCAAACCACATTCGTGGACTTTCAAGGAGACAGAACAATGACGGGCAGCGAGACGAGGGAAGTTTCCCCCTGTTCTTTCAAAACACACTCCTTTCTCAGCTCACACGCCCACGCTGTTTTGCAAGTGTGGATGATGTTGCACAATGGCAGTCATGCTGGTTGCAGTGTACCGTTAACAGAGAATTTTCCCTGGAAATTAGTGTTGAAAAGCCTTGAATGGGTTGTCTGATCATTTTGAAGGGATGTTTTGTCAAACAGTTACCAACAGTTAATATTTTATGGTCACAGAGTGTCAATAAAAAGACAGGACAGATAGACAGATATGTGGATGTTCACATGAATAAAAACAAGGGTTTTTTTTGGTGCGTGGAAATGCCAAAACTATTGTTTATTGTTATTGATTGTACATCATGTAGACCAGGAGAGTCAAACTCATTTTCACTGAAGGTCACATGAGTTTTACGGTGACCTTCAATGGGCCAGTTGTAATTACAACTGGCCCATTGAAGGTCACCGCGACTTTTGACGTTTCGCACTCAACTTCAGCTAAACAGAAAACATCACGTTCCTCGTCTCGTTGAGCACTGCTAACAAACACTGAGCTCTATGTGGTATTTCCTGCATAGAAACAGTGATTTAACACGTCTTCTTATAAACACTGAAAGGTTCCACTGACTGAATTTGAAATAATAAGTAATGCAGAAATGCTATGAAAAGTAAGAGTTTTACTCACTGTTAAGTTATGGTGAGTAGCTGCCATCTTGAATTCTGAACTCTCCCGCTTTCCGACAGGGAATTCCCATCGGAAGGGTGTTCCAGTTTAAAATTGCGACTTGTCAGTGGGAAATACCCACTTTGAGGGCGCAAACGAGCCACGGCAAGCATAGCCAGCGAAAGTGTAGCCTAAAATGAGTTTTTACAAGGTGAATTTCACTAAACCCTGTGCACCTCCACCTAGTGGTGGGAGGCTGTCGCAGATAAAATAATCAACATGCATTTTGGAAGATGTAGTTTATGGTCAATGCTGGTTTGAAAAAAGCAAACATTTATATTAAGACATTAATGCATCTTTGAAGCTCTTGTGGGCCTCATGAAATGCCATGGCAGGCCACATTTGGACTGTGGCTCTTTTGTTTGACACGTGATGCAGACCCTGAAACTATTCTACAAATAGAATGAATATTGTATACCTGGCAACACTGTTTCTGCTGCTCTTGTTTCTCAACAAAAGCTCTTGGTTGTCACACACAAAAACAGTGTTAGACACAGTCAGTCAGAAAAGAGGCTGTCCTGCAATGACAAGCCGTGCCTTTTAGCTTCGGTTCACTCTGTCTCAAAGCCTTTTACTGTTCATTACTTCCAGCGTTACGGTGTCACGTTTCTTCATCGTGATCATTCAACAGCATCTCTCTTCTAGTGTTGAACTAAACACCAACAACTGCAGGCCAACTCTTTTATTTACCCCCCATCAATCCCTGCTGCCATGTTTATAACCACAGCTCGCTTTGTTTTACAGTTTTCTGCGTCTGTTTATGTGTTTCAGATGTGCTCGGATTACGAGAAGAGTCTGGTCCAGCCCACCTACGAGAATGACTCTCTGGGACCTCGAGCGCTTCCAGAGACCCACCCTCTTCTGCAGGACTGGCAGGTAAAGACCTTTTGAACAGGTTTTTTGTGTCTTGGTTGGGTCACACTGGAGTTTGTGATGGTTTCATGGTGAGCATGTTGTTGATGAGCAGTAAAGAAGCATGTCTGTGTCGGCTCACGTGTTCCTGAGTGTTCTAATGCATGTCATTGTTTCTAGTGACAGACACGTAATAAATGAAACTCGCGTTTCTTAAAGGGATGCCTATCAGCTGCTGCTTGCATGCCAAGGTTTCCAACAAAGACCATGTGTGATCTGAGTTTGTGTTAGAGAGGACACTCAGCTACATCCTGTCCAAATTTTATCTGCACAGCTGTCTGAGTAAGAGCGATTTTTATGTAAGCTTAAGTCTGTTCACTAAGGCAGCCATCTTGAATTGGGCTGACTTCAAAGGTTTTTAAGAAAACATGTTATTTTGCAACAGAAGCTCGTACAGGAGACAAATTCAGATTTTAGACTTGAATATTTGTTTACAAAAGTTACAACAAATAACTCAGATCTGATCCATTCTGGGAGATCCAGTAATGGCCTGGATATGATGTCACGATAAACAAGGAAGTAAACACTTTCTAAAACGTAGAACATTATGTGTTTATACTGTTGGAGTGAGGCTTGTATTAAGATAAAGACTTGTATATTATGTCCAGTGGTTCAAGAGACCTTTACTCCAGTAAATGGGGCCATTTTAAACCAAACGTCTTGCGCAATGTTTGTGCTCTGAGTATGTGTTAAGGATGTCTATTAGCTATTACCACAGCAAATGTGAGCTCAGTTCCTGTAATACTGACTAATCTTGTATATGCTGAGGTGTGTAGATTTGGTACCTTGAATCAGACTCCAGAAGTGAATCAGTTGCAGCTGTGCATCCAGTGATTACTGTCTCAGCTTCATTCAGATCTGTCCAGTGGCTCATTGCTACATGTTGCTAACACACACACACACACACACACACACACACACACACACACACACACACACACACACACACTAAACCATACACAAATACACACAAACGCCTCCGTGCGCACACAAACTTCATCAGCCAGCCTGCACTTTCTCTCTCTCGCTCTCACACACACATACACACACGCAGCAGCCGCACATACACAGCTTCCCTGATATGTTCTGTCTGAGCTCTTCGTTTGAACTGTGTCCCACATTGCCGAGCATGAAGGAGTCAGAAAAATCGCATTAAATGGTGGGTCTGCCACCAGCACTGTGACTCAGACTACACCTTGCAAACTCTGTCCGTGGCCCAGCTGTGTGGTATTAATAGCTCGCTTGTATTTGAACTCCTATTACAAATAAACTTTAAAAGCTACTTTAGCAAAACATAGTAAATTAATTGGGTGTTCCAACAATTTTACAGGGCAAATTCAGTCCATGGCTGTTTTATTACTTTGATTAAAAAGTTTGCTGCCTGTGAGACCAATTTCAGAACTGCGGACAGCTCCAAACCTACAGAACATCAGCTGCTCAGGACCTTGGACAGCCCCACATACCTAAACCACAAGGGCAGAAAACGAGAAAACAATGGACGCATGCATTCCTTGCTCCCACTGCCTTTTGTGCCAGAGCTTTAGACCAAGATCAAAAGTAAAGAATGTAGTAAAAGAATGCTCAAACAATGAAAGTTGTGTTTTTATGTGCAATCTCATGCAAGATCCTAAAATGTCACAAAGTGTTGTGAACAACGCTCAGCTACAGCATCTTCACGTTTCAGCTACAGTCATTTTTGTGTTTGCTTGTGTTGGAATGCTTTGGCTGCCATCTTGAATTTATCCAAACAGTTATCAGCTGTAGATATCCATCAATTTACCTTTCTAAAAGTTTCATTTGACTCTGCTTAATCATTCATGAGAAATGTTGCTAATATATATGTTTGACTCCATCAACCCATGCTAAAGATTTAAGAAGATATCGGCAAAAATTAGCAGCCAAAGTTGTTGTTTTTCCTTCTGGCTGCTGCCTTCTGCAGGGGTTGCCACTGTGAGCAAACTCACATAAAAATAGTTAAAAATGAGAGTTTCATATCAGCTGCCCTTCTTGCCACAACCTGAACTTGATTCTGCAGTCTCAGAATAACAAGACTGTAGCACTGACCGTCAAGCTACTGCAGCCCAACGGGAAGCATATGTATGTATATACAGTATATGTGTATGTA